AAGAGTTTATATATGATCTAAGCTTATATATGATGTTACTTTTTTTTTTCTTTTTAATAATATTTTTTTTTTTAACTTTTTTAGCTTGAGAATCTGCCTGACAACCTAGGCATTTCCCCTGCAGGCAGTTCAGCTTACCGCCGATCCGGTCGTGTGATCGTGATGCCACCGCGATCACATGGCCTACAAGGGTCAGATTTGCTGGTTTGTCAGGCAGTCCCACTGATCTGTATCGCCACGGAGGGTAAGGTATAATCGGGAAGAGGCCAGCGATCCAATGGCGTTAAGGGGTTAGAGATACTTTACTGTAAGTATTATTGTTGTGGAGCTCTTTTAAACACTTAGATACACCAACATTATGGAGCTACTAGAAAAGATGGACTTTAGGATAGAGGGATTTGGGCCCAAAATAGGGACTGTTCCTCCTAAATAGGGACACTTGAGAGCTGTGCATACATGCAACCAGTTGTGGATCAGACACTTTTCTTGTGTTAGGTGCCCTCTCTGGCCATCTGCAGTACTGCAAAATGGTTAGGGTTCTATTCACTAAATGGTGAATTGACAACTTATTGCAACAGAGATAGAGATTTATTTCTGCCTTGGCATTTTTGCTCTAAATTTTTTAATTAGTTTTTTTCTTTAACTAATTTTTTTAGAAAATAAACTCCTATGTTAAACATTATATGTTTAAATTTTTTTTAAAGAAATGCAACGTTTTATATTGTAATAGGAATCTACACCTTTTCCCATGGAACATCATTTACAAACTGTTTAGTCAGTGAAGTTAGTTTTATAGATAAAGTACATAATAAAGCGTATTATAACAAAAAAAACAGCTTTTCTGTGGAAAAATTTACATATTTTATTTGTAAAATAAAACAAATTAAATGCAACATTATGTAAAGAATATGGCACACAGTATAACATTGCTCTGCACATTCTATACAATCATTCAATTTATGCTTCATTCTCCTAAACCTCTGACAAAAGGTTCTGCCAACTTGAATTAGAGAGTTCCAGTTTCCTTTCCATCATACAGTGTTAGTTTGTTCGTCTGACATTTCTATTCATTCATTCGTCTGTCTGATGAATGAATGAATAGATGAAATTCCCGTTCGCATGTCCAGGTGTTTCACTGGGCATGTGCGGGAATCTCAGCGCTATCTAGTGTGGGCAGATGACGTGTCCCACAGGGACTTCATCTACCCACACAAAGATGGCGGCGCCCTGAATAAAGAACGGGGCAGAAAATAAAGATAAACAAATAGGTAATGTGGGGGGCCTAGGGGCATTTGGGGGTGACTAGGGGGTCAATTGGATGTAGTGGAGGCGGGAGGGGGGGGTTAAAAAAAAAAAAACAGGATTCGCATTACAGTGCCACTTTAAAGGGACACTCCAGGCAGCCAAACAAGGTAAGCTAAAATTAAAGCTAATAAGTTTAAAATACATCTGGTTAGTTTCTATTCTTTCAATTGTGTGTAGTTTTCCTGCAATGCTGTAAAATGTTTTGCTGTTTTCAGCAGTGTAATCCAGCCTCCTTAGCCAACCCCTCTCTCACATTTCAACATGTTCCTGATTCCCAGTCTCTGAAAAAAATGGCCTATCAATGCTCCTCTCCCTTCCCCCTGTAATGCAGAGAATCTGATCAAAGTAAAGATTAACCCCTTAAGGACACATGACATGTGTGACATGTCATGATTCCCTTTTATTCCAGAAGTTTGGTCCTTAATGGGGTTAAAACATGTGCGTCCAAAAGCTCATTTTTACACTCTTTCGGGGTGAAACCATTTAGTGACACTAGGTTTACTGTTGAAGGGGGGGAAAGGATATAATTTTTTTTTTTTTCATTTCCTTTAATTAATGTAGTGGGTTCATACAGTATGGATTAAGGTTAATACAGCAGATGGAGAGTTTAGAATTATACACTGATCAGCCACAACATTAAAGGGACACTATAGGCACCCAGGCCACTTCAGCTCATTGAAGTGGTCTGGGTGCAATGTCCCTGTCCCCTTAGCCCTGCAATTTAAATCATTGCAGTTTTTGAGAACTTGCAGCAAATACTTTGCAGGACTAAGACTGTCTATAGTGGCTGTCAATCAGACAGCCACTAGAGGTACTTCCTGCTTGCTAGGTGACTTTCAAGCTCTG